CAGAGGATTTTCTAGCATTAACACATTTTTTTTTCTGTCTAATCTAAAGTACAAATAGCCCTCTGGCACACTAACTCTCTGACTACTATCTAACCAGGTCTCTAAAAAACAAACTATATCATGTTTTTTAACAAACTCAATGAAATCACTATCATCTATACTAGAATTTAAGCCATGAATATTCCAAGAAGCAATTTTTAGTTGCTGCTTGAATCTGTTCATCGTTTAACCCCATGGAAAGTAAGGTCGGGCAGGAAGATAATTAGGTACAGCAGGCATCCAAGGCATAGGTGTGGGCACTGCTGAGAATGGTGGTGGTGAATGCATTCTCTGTTGATACCAGTTTGGCGTTGTCATATGATACATTGATGAATTCTCAGCCATGACATGGTTGTTGTTGCTGCTATCCCTGTTGTCATTTATGTTTTCAGTAGATGCATTTTCATTAATATTATTTCCTAGGATTTCTTGTGTTTTGTAATCATGTTTGTTTTTATAACCATTTAAATCATTATCATTTTTGCTCCTTAATTGTGATCTTGGTCTTTCTCGTAGATTGTTGTTTCTAATTCTTGGTTTGTTCTTAATAGCACTAATTATGTTAGCTGCCAAGACCTTGGTACCAATGTCATTGAGATGGATATTGTCACTATGATAATATTTCTTTGTGCCATACAACTTGTTATGGTCAACAAAGATCATACCATCTTGATATAATAATACATTCTAATTTCCCTCTATATGTTACATTTACATACAATCGTAACAACCTTACCTATGACCTCGTAGCGGTATTCACTTCTGTATATGTGAGTACAACAGCTGTGACCTATTTTAAATTCTATCCAAAGATTTATCAACACTGCATGGTATCTCATTCACTCGCAGCTCGTCACGGCTCTGTTGAAGTCAGTGCAAATTAAGCCACTCACAAGAGCGTGCCTTATTGGCTACCCAACATTTAACAGTCATGACCAATCAGAATATAGCTTGTTTGTTGACAGATTCTTTCAGCGTATCAAATTCGGCGTTGCACATATGCTTCGACTCAATTGCTCTGTTGCGACATATGTGAAACAGTAAGACATTTTTTTTTCTGATGCAGGGGTTTTTAATTGAAGCATAAATATAAATATGATTTGGATTTTTTTTATTTTAGTGTTCAGCAGTTTATGAATTATTTGACAATCTTCAAATATCTACAACCATTCTTTATACAGTGAACAGATATACTAATAGAAAATCACCGTCACTATTTACACTGCCAATTAGTTCGCATTTTGGGTCGAAATTTATAAATATTTATTTCGTATATTGATAACAGAACTGTGGAATTCGAAGACAAACACACACTGGTATACAAGGGAAGGTTGCCGTGGTGACGGGCTCAAGTGATAAAGGTGGCATAGGATTGGCAATTGTCAGAAATCTTGCACAGCGTGGATGTAGTATAGTGATACATGGCAGCAGAGAGGCCGACAACGTTGAAGATATAGAGAGGACTTACAGAGGTATGCTTCAGTGCTTTCTCAATGCTATGGTGTATGTAACTGAACGTTTCATTCAATCAAGGTGTGTGCAACTCAACGTTTCGTTCAATCAAGGTGTGTGCAACTGAGCGTCTCACTCAATCAAGGTGTGTGCAGCTGAACGTTTCACTCAATCAAGGTGTGTTCAGCTAAACGTTTCGTTCAATTAAGGTGTGTGCAACTGAACGTTTTGGTCAATCAAGTTGTGTGCAGCTGAACGTTTTGTTCAATCAAGGTGTGTGCAACTGAACGTTTCGTTCAATCAAGGTGTGTGCAGCTGAACGTTTTGTTCAATCAAGGTGTGTGCAGCTGAACGTTTCGCTCAATCAAATTGTGTGCAGCTGAACGTTTTTGCTCAATCAAGGTGTGTGCAGCTGAACGTTTCGTTCAATCAAGGTGTGTGCAGCTGAACGTTTCGTTCAATCAAGGTGTGTGCAGCTGAACGTTTCGTTCAATCAAGGTGTGTGCAGCTGAATGTTTCGTTCAATCAAGGTGTGTGCAGCTGAACGTTTCGTTCAATCAAGGTGTGTGCAGCTGAACGTTTTGCTCAATCAAGGTGTGTGCAGCTGAACGTTTCGTTCAATCAAGGTGTGTGCAACTGAACGTTTTGCTCAATCAAAATATAGCATTTGATCATTACGAATGATGTTTTTTTCGGTCAAGTGTATAGGTTTATAGGTTTTGAGTACAGAAGACATTAACAAAGTTGTACAAATTTTCTAAATACACAAATGGTTAGAAACTGTGGGTCATTTTGCGATTGTGGAACGTCACATGTGTGGTTTATACTCTTAAAAAAAGAATAAAATAATACTATTGTGGTATTATTGAAATCAATAATTAAACGCAAATCTGCACAAATTATTTTTCTAAAATCTTTATGGCTTCATGAAAAACAAAGTATAACCTGTGATAGCAATTTGATTTAAGGGAAACAGTAAATTGATAAAACTAATTAGCGGTTGCCAAAGTAAACGGCACCATTTCACACCTATGAATGACAATATGCTGCTTGCTGAATAATATTAGTATCTTTTTTTCCAGTCAATACGAAGTTCCTGTTCATTATTTCCGTGCTGACTTTGATAAAATGAATGAAGTAGAAGGACTCTATAATAAAATTAAAGACATTTACTCTGATGGTATTGATATCCTTGTTCACAACGTTGGTAAGTGCAAACAAAATACAGTGTGTATGTAATTAAATTAAATCTAATTGAAGTTTAATTAAACTCAATCATAGGGCCAAGGCAAGGAATAAATAGCTATGAAATTTACCAACCTAAATCATAAATCTAAAGATACGTATTTATCAATTTATGTCTTCAATTCAGAAATTCAGTTTTAATGGAGGGGTTCACTTTTATAGTATGTCTTCATTTCAAGAATTTATATTTATAGAACGGGTTCACTTTTACAGTACAGATTTACTTTTATAGTACGGATGGAATAACTTTACGGTAAAGATTCACATTCATATTTAAGGATGTAGTCTATGATTCACAGGAAGTGCTCCAGGTGGAATAACGGAAAATATTGGAATTGTGATATGGGAGAAGATGTTGCGTATTAATTTGACATCAGCATTTTACTTGACGAGTTTATCATTGCCAGGAATGAAAATAAAAGGTGATGTACTGACATGTGACAAGACTAATGCGATATGATTTGATTCTAGCTGCTAAGGACATGCCCATCTAATTTCATCAATAAAATACTTGTTCATGTCATGCACAAATATGAGGTCAAATATGTGGTCTGACATGCACCCTTCGTTTGCACTTATGTACACATTTTAGCTACTAAAAATATAGATTTAAATATATCAACACTGGGATAAGCCAAGTTAAGGGACGCTTCAATCCCAACTGACACTCTACTGTATCATTCTATTAATATGTTATGGTAGAGGTAATCTATTAGTCTATATTTAATTGTAATTTGACATTAAATACCTAGTGCTTATTAAATATATACGTTATGTGTCGGCTGTAGTAAGTAATTGGTTACTAAGTTCATTTCAAGTGTTATAAAATCAATAAAATCAATCATACGAATGAAGTTCATTATTCCTAAATCGATTTCGTTGAAGAATTATAGTCCCCGATTTTAAATAAACTTTATAGTAACTAAGTATCAATATTTATCTTAGTAATATAATAGTAATAGTAATCTTATCTTAGTAATATAAACCAATATGTTGAAATTAGTTATTCATATATTTGAATTCTGTTTCAAATTACTGGCATATTCCAATGTGTTTGATCAGCTCACAGGGGTATGGGATGTTTAAAAGGCACTGAAGAATTCGTGCATATATATATATAGTGTAGATACAATAGTCGATTATTCCAAAACAAAAGTGCTCAATACAAAGTATATGTAGAGCGGGTGAATACGGTGATAGAGGACAATTACATGAATATTGAAACTCGACAGCACTGTTTCGTAAGTTACAAGTACCTCATCAGGAGCTTTATGTTTAATCATTCACTGCACCAAAGAGCATACATTATAAGCTTCGCAAATTAACATATTAATTAAAATTAAATAGAAAGTTTGATTGTTACATATTAGAGCTTTTGATCTGTGTCGGCATGATGTGACACGAGTTCATTTCTTTTGTTTAGTGTGGAGTGGTGGGGTCTAAAAATTATGATAAATTTTTCTTTCAAACATAAAATACATCGTTTGCTGGAGCTATTATACGGGCTACCGCGAGCAAGAATTTTCCATTGTATTTTATATTCAATATCTTTTTCTTTGAGTGACCA